CCATAGATTTTCCTTCACCATCACCTCAGTCCCCTGTGTTTCTTCCCTCCCTCCCTCTGACCCCTCTCCCTCCTCCTCCCCTGCAGGATGTCTCTGGTTTATAATTGTCTGTTTTTCTTTTGCTGTGCTTTCTATTATTATTTTTTCACACTGATGTCTTATTTGGTTTCCCTATATTCCTCCTATAAATGAAACCATCCGATATTTTTCTTTTCCCTTACGACTTATTTCACTGAGCATAATTCCTTCTAGCTCCATCCATGTTGCTGTGAATGGCATGAGTTTATCTCTTTTTTTTTTTTTTGCATTTTTTTTTTTTTTAGTCTTCAGACGCTTTTTAACATCATCTTTGTTTTCTTCATGACCCAAGAGTTTTTCAAATGCATTCTGTTTAGTCTTTACATGTTTTGGTTTATCCCAAGATTCATTTTGTGGTTCATTCTGGATTTATTCCATTGTGATCAGAGAAGATGCTTAATATAATTTATGTTTTTATATAATTCCTGAAATGTTTTGTGTCCTAGCATATGACCTATCTTTGAGAATGCTCCATGTTCACTTGAAAAGAATGTGCTCTTGGGCCTCCCCTTGTGGCAGAGCGGTTCAGCGCTGGGCTGAGATGCTGCCCACAGCCTCTGCAGTGCTGCTGGTTTGATCCCCGGCCACCAGTGAGGGTCCCACATGGTGCGCAGACCTCTCCTGCCCCACCCGCTGCTCCCTCAGCAGTGCAGAGCAGCGCACTTCATCACTCTGCCTGTTCTGTTCCCCGCTCTGGCATGGTGAATTCTCTCACCCTCCCACGCTTCTGACTGTACCCAGTGCTTGTATAAATAAATAAATCTTTTTTTTTCATTTTTTATTTATTCATTTATTTTTTTATAATAAATTTTATTTTTATATTCCCCATACAATTACAACCCCTCATTTTGACCCCAATCCCTCCCTTCCCGCCTCCTATCCCCCAAAGAGTGTCTCTGGTTCATAGTTTTTTGTTGACTTTGATTTTCACTTTCTTTTTTTTTTTAAATAATGAATTTTATTTTTATATTCCCCATACAATTGCAAGCCCCCATTCTGACCCCAATCCCTCCCCTCTCGCCACCCACCCCCCAAAAAGTGTCTCTGGTTCATAGTTTTTTGTTGATTTTGATTTTCACTTTCTTATAGTTATTCATTTTCCTGGTCCCTTATTTAAGTTTTCTAGATTCCTGCTATGAGTGAGACCATACGGTATTTTTCTTTTTCTTTCTGGCTTATTTCACTGAGCATGATCCCTTCCAGCGCCATCCATGTTGCTGCAAATTGCATGTGTTTATCTTTTTTGAATGCTGAGTAATATTCCATGGTATATATGTACCACATCTTCTTGATCCAGTCATCTATTTTTGGGCATTTGGGCTGTTTCCAAAGCTTAGCTATTGTAAATAGTGCTGCTATAAACATAGGGGTGCAGGTGTTCTTTGGAATTGATGTTTCTGTGTCCTTTGGGTAAATACCTAGGAGTGGAATTTCTGGATCATATGGAAGCTCTATGTTTAAAAAAAAAAAAAATGTGCTCTTTTGGAATGGAAGGCTTTGCAAATGTTATTAAATCTATCTGGTCCAATAATTTATCTAATGTCTCTATTTCCTTGTCCACTTTCTGTCTAGATGATCTATCCCTTAGTGAAGTATAAATGGAGTACAAATGGAGTGCTCAGTGATCCCATTATTAATTCAGTTTTGTCAATGTGTTGTTTTCAGTCTGTTAACAATGGTTCTGCAGAGTTAGGTGGCCCTGACTGAGGTGCATAAATATTAATTATAGTTTGATTTTCTTGATGAATGATTCCCTTGACCATCACATAATATATAACTTGCCTGATTACCTTTTTGGTTGAAATTCTAATTAATCAGATATGAAATTCTAATTAATCAGATCCTGCTTCTCTCTCTTTATGGCTTGAAGTACCTTGCTCTGGCACTTCACTTTATGTTTATCTTCATGTTTAATATGGGTTTGTTGTAGGCAAAATATACATGGCTCATATCTTGTGGGTTTTAATATTTATTTTTATTAATTTATGCACACAAGAACTGGGGTGTAGGCCAGAGGTGTAGGAAGTGAGAGGATTCAGAGACAGAGTAGGGAGCAGGACAGGCAGATCTACTGAAATACACTGCTGAGGGGAGCAGAAGCCAAGACAGGAGAGGTCTGCTGCGCCATATGGGTTAGCTCCCTGGATGGACAGCTGGGATCAAACTTGTGCCACAGTGGCTGGCGACAGCTTGATAGCACTGAGATTTTAACCCCTGCACCTGCAGGGAGACCCATGGCTGATATTTTGTGACTCAACTTGTCACTTTCAATTGCTGAGTATAGATCATTGATGTCTAGGATGATTGTTCACATATGAGGCTTATTTACTATCATGCTATCTTTTGATTTTTAATTGTTTTGTCTTTTATTGTTTTTCTATTTGTATGCTTTTTCCCATCTGAATAGCCTTCCCTGATTCTCCCAGTTTCTTCAATGTGTCTCTAGTTCCTCTATGTGTCTCTATTCTAAATTTTTGCTTTGTAATTACCATAAGGATTATATCAAACTTTCTATGTCTAAAGAATTTTTTCATAAGCCAGTATCAATTTCTCATCATTTAACTATACAGGCCCTACCCTTTTCTCTCTCCCCTTGTATTTTATTGCTGTTTCCTTTTTTACTCTTGTTTACACTTCTGATTCTGCACTCTATTGTCCCTTTACTCAGGGTTTTACGTTTTGTTTTTTTGATTCTTGCAGAACTCCTTTCAAGATTTTTTATAAGGTAGATCTGCTGTGGCAAACTCTATTAGCTTTGGTTTGTATAGGAAAGTGTTCATTTCATCTTCATATCTGAATGATAATTTTTCAGGATATTTTTGGTTGGCAGTTTTTGTCTTTTGGGATTATAAATACATCTTTCCGCCTTTTTTCTGTCTTGAAAAGTAACTGCTGAGAAATATGATGTGAGCCTTACATGGGTCCACTTGTAAATTACCTTCTTTTTCTTTTTTCTCTAGCATGCTTTAATATTTTTTTCTTTTCCTTTGACTTTTGATTATTTAACAATATTATATCTCTGGGTGAAGGCCACTTTGCATTGAGGAAATTTGGTGTTCTTCCTGGTCCTGAACTTATTTCTTCCCTTAAGTTCACAAAGCTCTCAGCCATTATTTCTATAAATTGGGCCTGTGTTCCTTTCTCTTTCTCCTCATCTTCTGGAATACCTATTAACCTATGCACCCTCTTTTAAATGAATCTAATAGTTCACATAGGGTTTCTTCATTTTTCTTCACTTTTCCTTCTCTCTTCTTCCAATTGGGTGATTTGTACATTTGCATCTTCTATTTCTAAAATTCTCTCTTCTATGAACTTAATTCTATTTAAAATGCTTTCCATATTCATCATATGTCATTAATATCTTAAATATCTTTAGCGAAGAACTCTTTTTGTTCCTGGAACTCCTTTGTAAAGCCCTTTACTTGCTTTTCATCTTTTAACTACTCTTCTAGTACCTATTTTACTATTTTAGAAATTGCTATACTGAATTGTTTGTCAATTAGATTCTTTATTTCCATGTCAATTATAGATGTCTCTGTGCTTATATTCTTCTGTTGTTCTAACTTGTGTTCAGATGTTCCTTGCTTGCTAGGTATATGTGCTGCCTTATTTCATTTTGGGGGGTTGGTGTGCTCTGGGTTTGGTCTTGTTTGATTATTTCTTTATGTTTCTGACAGGTGGGGAAGTGAAGGGAAGCTGGAGACAAAACACTCAGTCTCAGTCTCAGTCCTAAAGAGGAAGGTGGGCAGTTACCAGGCCACTAGCTCTCCTCTTTCTACAAAGCAAGCTATGTTCAGTGTTTTGTAAATTCCTACCCCAACTCCCTTCTGCTCCTTTCTGTGGCATGAAACTGTGTTCCACCAACTGTGTTTTCACCAAATTTGAGTCACCTGGAGTTGGGTGACAGGCATGATGCTCAGAACATGAGCCTCCAACCCTGCCCAGCAAGGGGGACACAGTACTGGCTATATGTCTTGCTTTGCCCTATAACAGCCACCACCACTGGGTACAATGTCCAGACTGGCAGGCACCACAGATCACTTACTTGTAGAGAGAGAGTGGGAGATGGTTCTCCTACCAGCTCTACCAAGTGTCCAATTCTCTGTGACTCAGCCCAGGTCAGCTCTGTGTGCACCACGCCATCTCCAATTTTTCCTTTTTCTGATCTTTCCAAGGGAGGATAGGAAGCATTCTTTATCCCCGCTGCTGGCCACCAGTCACCCTGCACCCAAATCCATGCCTACTGAACTGCTGTCTCTTCTCATGGTCTTGTGCCTGCCTGTCTGTACCACTCCCTTTATTGGACAGTTCCTCTGTAACACTGACCATACCCCATGGGACCAGCAGCCAGCCTGTTCCATCACCTGAGTGCAACCTCTTTTGCTTCTTCATGCATCTTTTACACTTCACTCACCTTTCCCATAGTAAGTCACCACTCTGAGCACAAAACCTTCAGGAAAATCCTATGTTTCTGTCAATATGCCTATGAATCTTCCCCTAAGCTAATTTTATTCTAGTTTTCCTCTCTATTTAGTTGTGTTTAGGGGAAAGAATGATTCATTCTCTCTATTCTACTATGTTGTGGGTGGAGTTCACCATGCTAAATATTAAAATACATTTCTCCTTAGTAAAAGTCAAACCATTATCTGAACTCCAATCACTAGATGAACGATATACTCTTCAAACTAAAATGACAAGTGATGGTAAAATGACCAAGAAAAATCTTTCAGTCAACATATCCAGGAAGACCAGCCCAAAGGGACATTTCATTTTAATAGTGAAGGATCATTTTTGTACAAAAATTGAATGATTTCAGGGCACAGATAGTTTCATAAGACATTATACATTACCAATAAGACCTTGTCAGAATTTTCTGAATAAAAAATAAAGTATGCTAAGGAAAAGGGAGAAATATTAATTACCTCCTGGCTATCTTTGTTTTGGTTTGCCCAGAAAATCTTATGATAAAGTGTCTCCATAGAATTGCTGGAATCAGTTCGGTCAAAACAGTGACGATCCAAGACTTCCAATGTGTGCAAAACCCGACTAATAGTCACCCCTGGATGTGGAAATCAAAAAAGCAGTTAAAGAAGCCACACAAACCCATAATAGCATAGTTCAAAAGCATCACTATGTGAGATAAAAGGAATTCTAAAAAATTATCATTCTTAGCATTAAGAATTGCTAATGAAACCAAACCTAAAGTTCTGGACAGCCAGGATCTAAAGGACATAGACAGAATTCCTCAAAATTCAGAGTGGTCTGTCAAAAATGTCCTGATTCACATGGAATGATTTACAATAATGAGAAACAGCAAAAAGCCCAACATTCAAAAGTACTCCTTCTTCCTTGGGTTCTGTACCTGCTGTTGACTCTTGGCACTTGTCAAAAGACCACCGAACTTCCACTGCACGACCTCTTTGTTTTATCTGCTGTTCTACCTCATAAATCCTTGCTCGAACCTGAAAGATAATTTCTTCTAATTAACTTGAGCTTGGAAAGCCACAATGGCTGTCTAAATCATGTTAGGATTTTCCACACGAGCAAGCATTCTCCAACAAACTACAATCCTGATTTCATTAAAGGAAATTCAGTCTGTTGCTGGAGAAACACATTTTAAAATTTACAAGTGGCAATTCAATGCCAGTTTTCAATAATAAATGCTCATAAAAATAAATGCAAGCAAAAAATCTTTACATGTGAATTTTTCTAGGACACCACATGGGAAGCTGAAAGTTCTAAAATATCATCTTTGAGTCATTCTTCTATGTGTGAAAGCGACTAGCCATGCTTTATCAATTTAAGACAACCATTTGTTAGACAAACAGGAATCTTATTCTAAATATTAGTCACAATAGTGGTTCAATTTGCTTAAGTCTTTGAACCAAAAAACCCCACGTTAATAAACGCATACAACAGTAACTAAATATCAGTCTACTTCTATGGAGTTATGGTCATGTAGTAGAACCACCACTACAATTACTGTTGGAGGGGGATAATCTGCAAGAACTCTGGGGCAAGAAAATGAAAATGAAAGGAGCAACTTCATGAACTTCTGCAGTTCAGAGAGGCTAACTGCTTCGCAAAGGTCACCCAGAGAGAAGAGGGGGAGCTGGGAATGGCTCCTGTGCAATGATGCTAAAACTCAGGCTTGGCCCACTATTCCCGGATGCCTCTGGAGAAGGGAAACCCACAGACCACTGAAGCAGAGTCTACCTGCTGATTGAAAGCCGTGTTCCCGCCCGGCATGGGTAGGCTGGAGGGGGCCACTTGCAGCAGATCCAGGGGAGAGCCAGGGTTTGTGCTCTTATTGTCATTTGTGGAATAATTCCACACCAAGGCACTTGGGCAGCAGAGAGTGACAGTCTGCAAATAAAGCACAAAAATCCTGATATTTGGAAAGTAAAATAATATAAGAGCTTACAACAGTAAAAATTATACCTTATCACAACTGTATTCTAGTTTCCTACCAAAGAATTTAAAATGAACATCTTACCCTAGTCTCAACTCTTCAGGCTGTAAAGTAAAGACAGATTAATTTGAAAGGCAGTACAACCAATTCAAAATTAAGGAATACTATAATTCATAACCTTCTATTCCAGCACAGGAAATCTGAGAAATAATAAAAATGTAGTAATCATCACTTAAAAATTATCACTTACCAATCTTTTTCATGCACTTAAAAAAAAAATGAGATGGATTCAGAATATGTAATTTCCAGGACTACGAAATCTAAAAAGGAATTTGTCTTTAATCTTTCAAATAATCATGTAATAAGCAGTTTCATAAATTCTGGGCATGCAGTAACTCGAAGCGAACTTTTTCTATAAAAAGCCAAATAGTAAATATTTTAAGTTCTTCTGACCACCTATAGTTTGTCACATATTCTTCTTTTTTGTTCTAATAACTCATGAAATTTATTCTTAGCTCCTAGGCTGGACTGGGCATAGTTTGCCTATCCTGCCTAAGATATTTGCTGATGGTTTTTACTCAACCATCTGGTACAAAGCACTTCCTGTGACCTTTTAACTCATGTCACAAATATCATGAGGGTGGTAGTTATTCTGCAGTTCCACCAAAGAGGAACATGAGCCACTGAGGAGCTCATTTAACAGGTCCAAGTTGATTCCAGAACACAGGTGTGGAACCACTATGCTAACCGGCTGCCCTGCTAAGTGCAGAAAAATTATTAGAGCTCACATGTAATTAAGCATTCCCTCTGTGCTGAACACTGTCCTGGAAACTTTGTCATCAGAACCTTAACCCAATGAGGCAATGAAATTAAGAACCATCGTTATCCCTATTCACAGATGGGGAGCAGAAGCTCAAGGTAAAAGTTCCCTTGTGGAAAAGCACCTCTGTAATGACTCTCAAGTATCTACTTCAATCATCTGCTATGTTGCCCTCAACAGTCGAATGCAGTAATTCATTTTTCTAAAATACAAAATTAAATATAAAGGAACTAAATTTTGTAATCTAAGAGGCTTTCCTGTGAGACCAGATGGCAGATATGAAGAACGTCAAGTCCTTGGACCACCAATACCTCTGTCTCCACATCTCTACCTGCGTCCTCCTATCTGTGAGGATTAGACTTCTCATCTCCCATCCATGGGGGAGCACTTCCCTATTCTGAATCCCACAGCCTCCCCCTACCCAGTGAAATAATCAAGCACCCTCCTTTCTGATTTCTGGACTCACTCTCCACTGGTTTACCTTGAGTTGAAATATATGCAGATCTGCCCAATCAAAAGCAATTTCTAAAAATTTCTCCACTTGCCTGGCAGATATTGCTCTCTGTTCTCTTCACAGACATGTTTCTCAAAAGAACAGTTAGTATTATTTCTCCTCACTCTTCATCACTCCTCAACCCACCTTTATCTAGCTTCTCACCTACAAGTCAAACTGAAACAGCCACCATATTGTCAAAAGCAATCTTGGTCAGCTTACTTTTCTAATCAACTTTGCACTGCCCGCTATTGGCTCCTTTTTGAAACTTTCTTTGATACCTAGAGAAGCAGTTTAGCACTATAATTAAGGGTGTGAACCTCCCCCACCCCACCCATCCAGCTTAGCTACTTACCTGCTGTGTAACCTAGCCTACCTTTTTTATTATTTGTTTTTCAGGAATAATATCAGTTCCTATCTCTAGGCTGCTTCTGAGAAACTTAATATATACCCTACAATTTAGTAGAACAGTGCCTACAACTGTAACTGTATCCTTAGCAATGCCTGGAGGCTGCTGTGGAGCAAGGTGGCTTTGTTGGGGTTGAGGACATGCAGGCTTCAGCTTACTGCTTGTGGACGTTCCCCCCACACAGCACTAGCAAGGCCAGCTCTGGCCATGGCTTCCCAGAGCCCACAGGCCCACAAGCCTGCCCTGACTTGAGTGTAGGCCAGGATGGGTATTTTCCCTTCATATCTGGCTCTGGAACTCTAAATGGACCAATCAGACGCAAGCTAAATGGACCAGTCAGGTATGAGCTAAAATGATCCACTGGTTCAAACTCACTTAATTAGCTGTCTGGACTGAAAACAGAAAACAAGCCAATTAGTGCTAAACAGTCAGGCTTGTAAGGTGAGTGTCTCTGAAGAGGATATAAGGCAGGGCAAAAGTCAGCTTGATTCATTCTGCTCCCAGCCTAAAAGAAAGAAGGATTCTGTTCTTGGCCTTCAAAGAGGAAGCACTGATTGGCCCTCCTTCGAAGGAGGATTCTGCTTCCAGTCTCTGAGAGAGAGAAGTATCCAGCAGTTGACCTCCAAGGGATTCAGCAGAATGACTTCCAGACCTCAGCAGATCTGAGAAGAGATTCGGCCACTGCACCTGCCTCTGGCCCTCCCTCTGACATTATCTGCAAGAAGCACCATCTGGCTTAGCCCAGTGTCTCAAATTGTTGGACACAACCTCTGGTTTTTGGCATTACCTCCTGGCAGTATTTTGGAAGACTCCCTTCTAGGAGTGCTCAGTCTGTCACTGTCTGGTCTTCAGACTGCTACTGCATCACCTTATCCTCTACAAGTGGCCTTTGTTTGGGACTTCTGGGCACTGTGGACACTATCTGGGGTAAGACAACTGGTCACTTGTAACCTCAAAAACGCTTTCCTTTTCCCTAATCTGTTTGTTAAATAAACCCTATTGTTCTTGGACCCTGAACTTGAGTGGTCTTGTAATTGTTTGCATGAGTGAGAACCCACTAACAGTGGCCTGTCCCGCACCTTGGCACTCTCCCTTAGCACTGATGCAACATTGTTTGGGCACTCTTTTGCACTGTTTCAGTCCTGTTTCAGAATATAAGTGTTATTAAAAAATTATATTAAATTTATGACAGCATTATTCCTAGTCTCATCATCTTTGTTTCTGTAACAATACTGTCTCGCCATTCTTCTCTCTGGCTTGGCCAACTTTTCTGGTTGCCACCATACCTTCCCTTCTGCCAATTTTTAATAATACTGCCCCTTAGACTTACAAGTTCTCTTACTACTAACTCTTCAAGTAATCTCAACCCCTCTTGGAATTCTGAGCAGCCATGAGGCCCCAAATGATTCAAATCCATTTATCTGGCCAGTCATATGCCTTCACCACCAGAATTACACATGTAACAACCTCTTGCACTTAACTACCTGGAGATCCTAAGGATAAAATCATCCAAAATACTTCAACACTGATCCTAACAACACTCCTCAAAATTGATTTCTTTGCCTCAAATCTCTCCCTGCTTCTGCCCCACTTCACACACCTTCCCTCTGCTGTGGCCAAAACAATCTAACTAAATGACACAATTGACTGTGTTTACTTCTCTGCATAAAACTCTCAAATAACATCCCAATCACTAGGCCCACAGAGGACTGGTCTTCTATGCCCTGACTCCCAACATATTTTACACTTTATGTCCATTAATACCAACCTGCACACAAGGTGACTCATAATCCTCTAGACCTTTTCCCATGTTATTACCACTTCCAGAAACACCATTGCCACTTTTATTTTTTTTAACCTGAAATATAAGTACTTAACAAAATCACTTCCTTCAGAAAGTCTCATCAATTCTCGGTTAGACCAGAAGTTTCATTTCTCCACTCCCTCAGTCCCCTGTGCACATCTCCATCAGCCTTTGTCATGGTATATGGAAACTTCCCACTTATGAAACTGTGTTATGACAAGAAAGAAAACTCTACCAGAGTGGCAACCATGTCTTCATGGCCAGTCCTGCCCCAAAGTCCCACAGTAAGGAACAGGTCATGTTAAAAGCCCAAGAAATGGGGCCTCCATGGTGGTGCAAGGGGTTAAGCACCGCACTATGAAGCAATCTGAAGCCTCTGCAGCACGAGTTCAATCCCCAGCTGGCAAGGGAGCAACCCACATGGCGCAGCAGACCTCTCTTGTCTCGCCTGCTGCTCCCCTCAGCAGTGTATTTCACTCAGTCTGTCTGTTCTGTTCCCCACTCTGCTTCTGGTGGGTCCTCTCACCCAAAAAGCCCAAGAAATGTGGCATTAACATTAACCAGTATGTACCTCTAGGGCAGGGCTGTATTACATTCCTGAAAGAATCTGCCCAGTGGCCTGCAAGTTACTGCATTTTCAAGGATCACACAAGTAAGGATGTTTGACAGATGGAAAGAGCCTGATAAATTATTTAAATTTTAGAGAATAACCAACTGAAGAATTGAAACTTCTGAGAAAGCTCCAGAATCTACATGGAGAAGTAATCTTTCCAGAAAAACAATATAGCTGACTTAACCGGCAGGTTCCCTGAAGGATTTTTAATCCTTCTTCAACTGCTTAATTGTCCTAATAAAGGACAACTACAATAAACTTTCTTCTAGTTGGACACAACAGATCTTCACCTAGTTAGCCCAACACAGGAAAACAAAAGAATGAAATGTCAATTTATAAATTACCTGGATAAGGGGAAAAACAGAACTGCAATCTGACAGTTTAAGATATGACTCCCAACTGAATTGTTAGGGAGCATGGAATTTTAACAATAAAATCCAGGTTTGTACTTTGATAAAGTAACAGGGGCCAAGGACTTACCTGCAACATACAACTAAGTCCATAAACCAGGGGACCATGCTGTGCACAGGAAAGGAAGTCAGAAAAGGCGAGCTGTGCCGGACTCATACCCGGGCCTGGGGGACCTGGGCTGGGGGCCCCAATGCTTGAGTTGTTTGATCCAATCATCATGTGGGGTGAGTGGGCAGCAAGGAGGCTGGGGCTATCACTCAGAAGCAAGGCAAGACGCCGGGCACAGAAGTAGGCAAGACGACGAGACAGGTAGGCCGACTGAACAAACTCATCTGAATACTAGGGAAGATAAGGACACCAGACTTCAGTCGTGTCTTATGCTGCTCAGGGAAACAACTATTTTAATACATACTTTTCCCATAAAAAAAAAAAAAACCTTCAAAAGGTACTATATAGAAGAATACTGTCAAATAGAAATGTAATGTAAGCCACATATGTAATCTTAATTTTTGTAGTAAGTATCAAACAAGTTAGAGACGAAATTAAAAGACTAGCATTTTCTATTTAGCCTGATGTATCAAATACGTTATTATTATTCCATCATGTAATCAACACAAAAAGGACACACTCTTTTTTCAGGAGCAAGTCTGAAATCTGGTTGCAATTCTATACTTGATGTACATCTCAGCGGCTCAACAGCCATGTCTGGCTAGTGACTACTCCAGTGCACAGCTATAGAACACCTCAGGGAGTATGCACAGGACACTAGCGGGTGCAGTTCCTGAGAGGGCCATGGGATGGGGGAAGAAAATAATTTTTCACTAGTCTCAAATTGTTTACATTGTCAAATGTATGAATGCCATTTCCTAGAAACTTTTATTTTAAATAAATTTCATCCAGATAACCTAAATTTCAACATCTTAGACCAATCATTAAAACAGGAAGTTACCTACCCTAAATAGCTCAAAAAATGTAAAAAGAATAGAAAGATTCTCTATAACCTCAAAATGATATGATCGATTTTGTTTCCACAGAAATCTGTGGAGACACAGGTTTAAAAACCTGTCTGCTTAGCTTACTGACGAACATGACCAATACAAATGATTGTTAAAACTTGTAAGAAGGGTCCTCCCTGTTGACGTAGCGGTTGAACACTGGGCTGCGAAACTGCCTGCTGCCTCTGCAGCGCCGGTTCGATCCCCGGCCGCCGGGCGAGGGTCCCACATGGCGCGCAGACCTCTCCTGCCTGTTGCTCCCCTCAGCAGTGTACTTCGTCAGTCTGCCTGTTCTGCTCTCCGCTCTGGCTCTGGTGAATTCTCTCATCCTCCCGCCCCTCTGACTGTACCCAGTGCTTGTATAAATAAATAAATAAATAAATAAATCTTTAAAAAAAAAAAAAAACTTGTAAGAAGCCTCATCTCCTCATGCACTGTATAATCGAGACACTTTTTCTTCTTCTATCTGAAAAATAAAATAATTCCTCCTCCACTTCTACTTAGCCAAACATTCTTACAAGGCTCATTTCTGGGCTCAAGGCCACAGGCACTGTACCTGCAGCATTAGTGGTAACAAGAGTTTAAGAAGGTCGTCATCCATTGGTCTGATCTTTTCTAAGACATCCAGGATCCATGTCAAATATTCATGTTTTTCTAGCATTCCTTCCTTAAATGGAAACAAGAAAAAATATACTAATGATATTAAAGCAAAACCAACTAAAGTTCAAAAAAGAGCAACACTGTATGTCAATATAACTTTGTATCTCTGCTGTTATTTTTTGTGTTGTAGTAAACTATGCTCTAAATGCATACTCTATTAACAAAACAAGGAACTAGCATATTTTCTTTGGTTAGCACGGGTTTTGTTGTTTCTGCTTTGGGGTAATCTGTTTCATTCGAAGTTGAAAAAATCCATCCCTATAATGTAGGAAAGTCAGAAGCTTTCAGATTTCCAGGGTAATCAGGTGCCTAGTAAAATATTGAGGAGTAGGGACTCATGAATACTCACAAGGAGGATACTTCGCCAATGGTGATTATTAGAAAGTGTCCATCCTACCATCATCACAACATGAGGTTGAGTTCCCACCACACCTAATCCTAATCAATGCCTACTTAATGGCTTTCTTCTGGATTCTTCAAAATTCTAAATGAATTTTAGATGCTATAGTCTATCTATAAAATGTAATGGCAAAAATCAATGTAAAACCCTAATTAACTATAATATACAGAAATGGAAGGAATCTATAATAAAACGAAGTATATAAATATACCAACTAAAAAAAAAAAATAATACAACTACTAATTTCCAAAATGTCCCACCTGAGTAGTAGAAGCCCTCTTGACATGAACATTATTAACATTTTTATTTATTGCCTTCATAGACACACATATATATACATTCTTTTATAACACTATGCACATAAGTATTTAACATTATCTTATAGATATGTATCATGATTTACATCCTGAAAGACTCTTTTAGGTAGAAAACAAAGAGCTATGCTTTCATGGAAAGACACTTACGCTTTTATGGTCACTCTGGTAACAACCTGAGTGGTTAATATGTACTCCTACTTTATTCCCAGGTGGTGCACTACCACGGTTACTGATAAGCTACAGTTTCAATATCTAAATGATTAGAGTGATGGCAAAGTATTTACTTATTGCTAATTCTGAATTTTTTAAATGTTTAGAGTCAAACAGAGTTAAAAGATTAGACATGGAAAAGATGCAGATTAAAAGTTTAAGACCAGTAAAGAGAATAAATAAAATGGAATTTTGCATTAAGCCCTAAAGCTATGCTGAATGCAAGGTTCAAAAATAAAAAGAACCTGATTTGGATCAACATGGCAGCCGGGAAACACTGTGAGTAAGTCCTCCCATAAAAAAAAAAAAAAGTTAATAGGGAGGAAAAGCAGCAGGTCACTGCGAGAACTGGGACACCAAATATAAACAGGCAACTCTCGCAAACTGTCCAAAGAGGACAGTTGCCATAAAAGAGGACCAGAAGAGAGGAAAGCTCAGAACCCTGCTACCCTCTCCCACCCACAAAGTCTGGAGGACCAACAGAAAGGAGGAAAAAAAACACACAAAAAAAGAACAAACTACAGATCAAGTGGGACACTGAGCAGAAAGTTACCATTTCAGGCAGCACACCCTACAAACAGGAACTGTGGAGAAACATGCAGGAATTGCCCTGGAGGTGAGCGAAGGACTCCGAGGAGACCTCCAAATAGCCCAAGGCCAGCCAGTAAGCTTGTGCAGAAAAGCTGCAAACTCGAAAAGCATATGCAGATCAAAGCTGACCAGCTCCCTGTGCCCACGACCTAGGTTTGTGGGGAGACAAGCAGAAGCCATCAATGAGGTGATGTCGCTCACTGAGTAATCAGAAACCAGGAGTCCGGACCTGGGAGCAGGGTGCAAACGGCATTATTACTGCGGGCACTGAACGGGGCTACAGCACACGTCTTGTATCTGAGGGCTTCGGAACTGAGACTCTGGGCACGAAATTTGGAGTGTGGGATCCCCACGACAGCAGGGCACAGGGCAGACACAGCATCCTCACGCCATTGAGGCGCTCCACACCACTCCCACTCTGTTCCCCAGAGCCACTGGGAAAAAAACATCTCTAGAAGGACACTAGGAAAGATCTCTGGCGCCACCTAGTGACCAGAAAAAAATCACCAACATCCTATAGCTGGAAACCAGGGATCCCAAAAACACCCTCAGGCTCTGAGAGAGGGTGGGCCACACAAACGGGGGTAAGAAGGGAAGTAAGGCATGGAGCAAGACCCCATCCTGGAACTGAGAGCCAGGCACAAGTTATGGGATGTGGGGCGCATAATAGCAGCGGGCACTGCACAGGGTGTCAGCCCAGCGTTTTGGATCTGAAAGCCCTGGAACTGAGGCCTAGAGTGCAGAATTCAGGGCGCAGGATCCATACAGCTGCAGGCACAGCACAGGGTGAACACAGGGCAGACACAGGACCCAGCTTGAATAACAGCCCATGTTGAGGTGCTCCCCTTCGCCCCCCTCCATTTCTCAGAGAACCACTGGGAAAAAGCACAGTCAGCAAGTGCAGGTATCTGGCACCATCTTGTGACCAGAACAAAATCACCAACTAGCTGATTCCCTGTTGGAAATGAGTAAATACAGAGGGAGGGAACTGTAAGGGACAGAGCCCAGCAACACAGCATCAACAACCTGGTGGAGTTTTGTCCTACCAGTGCTGGTCTCAATCTGGTAAACAGTTTCCGACACCCCTAAAGCAGCACCCCTAAAGATGCCCGCCAACATCAGTGACGCAACGGCCCAACGCATAGAACTAATTAGAAAGCAAACAACAGGGAGAAGAAAAAATATAAATAACCATGCAAGCCAGCAAGAGAAGGACACACCACAAAAAGAAATACAGTCACCAGAGCTCACATGGAAGAACTTCTCGGCCTATCAGATAGAGAATTAATGATCATCATGATTAAAAAAGCAGAAAGAAAATGAAAAGGAAGATGATTTGAGACAAATAATCACTGAGCTAAGAATGAAATGAAGACCTTAAGAAAGGAAAGAAAAGACACACAAGAGATTAAAAGATTACTACAGAAGATAAAGAACTCTGGGAAAAGCAATGAAAACAGAATAGATGAAATGGAAGAATGGATCAGTACTCTCTAAGATACAGAAAGAAAAAGAGCCAAAAGAGGAAAAGGTGAGAGAAGTGCAAATGAAGCAGTATGAGGAGACTCTTAGACAATGATCAGACTCCATGAAGAGAGGAAATGGAAGAGTTATAGGTATTCCAGAAGGTGCGGAGAGAGACAAAGGAACTGAGAAATTATTCAAGGAGATAACTGAAGAAAACTTCCCAAGAATGAAAAAGGAGACGAATATAGACATACAAGAAGTGAGAAGAACTCCCAATTACCACAATGAAAAGAAAACTACAGCAAGACACACAATAGTAAAGCCTGCAAGAGTCCAAAACAAGGAAAAAATAATGAAACTGGTAAGGGGGGAAGAAACTTACAGATAACTTACAAGGGAAAACCAATCAGGTTAACTTCAGACTTCTCCAAAGAAACATTACGGGCAAGAAGAGAACAGAATAACATATTCAGCAAACCTCAAGACAGCAAATGCCAACCAAGAATACATTACCCTGCAAAGCTCTCTTTCCTCTATGAAGAAAAAATATAGACCTTCTCAGACAAACAGAAACTTCAGAAATTCATTATAATTAAACCCCGACACCAAAAAATTCTACAAGAAGTCCTAAAGCCAAAACCAAGAAAGGAATGAACAAGAAGAGGAGAATAAAGCAAGGAATAAAATCACAAAAAAGACAAACAAAATGGCAAATACAGATACCAACATATCAATATTAACTCTAAAAGTAAATGGATTAAACTCTTCAATAAAAAGTCACAGAGTAGCAGGCTGGATTAAAAAACAAAATCCAACCTTCTGCTGTCTCCAGGAAACATATTTAACCACAAAAGATAAACACAGACTGAAAGTAAAAGGTTGGAAAACAATCCTACAGGCAAATGGACCAAAAGAGAAGGCAGGAACAGCCATACTTACATTAGATAAAAGAGACTTCAAATTAAAAAAGGTAAAATTAAGAGACATAGACGGATACTACATCATGATCAAGGGGACAATACATGAGGAAGATATAACACTCATCAACATACACTCACCCAATGAAGGGGCACCAAAATATATTAGACAATTATTATCAGCTCTGAAAACAGACATGAAAGAAAATACATATACAGCGGGAGACTTCAATACCCCACACTCACCAATGGACAGATCAACGAGACAAAAAATAAATAAAGACACTAGAGCCCTAAATAAAGACATAAAGGGCCTCCCCAGTGGCGCAGCAGTTGAGCGCTGGGTTGCAAAGATGCCCGCTGCGCAGCCTCTACAATGCCGGGTTCAATCCCCAGCCACCAGGCGAGAGTCCCACATGGCGCACATACCTCTAATGCCACCCGCTGCTCCCCTGAGCAGTGTACTTCGGTCCTTCTGCCTATTCTCCCCCCTGCTCTGGCTCTGGTGAATTCTCTCACCCTCCTGCTCTTCTGACTGTACCCAGTGCTTGTATAAATAAATCTTTTTTAAAAAGAAATAAATAAATAAAGACATAGAACGCATGGCCTTAACAGACATCTATAGGGCACTGCACCCAAAAAAATCCAAGTACACATTTTTCTCAAGTGCACATGGATCATTCTCCAGAATTGATCACACACTGAGTCACAAGACAAACATCAACAGAGACATGATAATCAAAATTATTCCAACTATCTTCTCCGATCATAAAGGCATCAAGTTAGAAATAAATCATGAAAAGAAAACAAGGAACCCTCCCACTTCATGGAGATTGAAATCCATACTACTGGAAGACCACTGGACTAATGAGGGGATCAAAGAAGAAATTAAAAAATACTTTGAGTTGAACGACAAGCAGGACACCACTTTCCAGCATGTATGGGATGCAGCAAAAGCAGTAATAAGAGGAAAATATACAGCAATCAGGCTCACATCAACAAACAAGAAAGAATTCAAAGAAACAACCTAATCTCACATCTCAAATAGCTAGAAAAAGAATTTTAAAAAAAAACCCTAAAGCCAGCAGAAGAAAGGAAATAATAA